TTTTTTCCGTTTTTTTTTTGGTTACGTAACCCATAATGGTTACTTATCACGAGATTTGTCATCATCATCATCATCCAATGATACCGATCAATGATCTTATCAATAGACTTTTGAATATCAATTTAAATCGTGTGTATGTGTATTTTCGTTGAAATTGGTTTTTTATGTGGTTTTTTCCACAAAAAAACGAAATTGCAACTGAGAAAAAACTCCAATAAATTATCCCGAAAGGAAAAAACACGTGTTTATATCCAAGAAATGGGCGTGTATTCGTGTATGTGTGGTGAGGATATTCGCCTCATAACCAAAAATGAATAGGCAATCAATTTTATTTTGGAAAATTTAGCAAAAAAAAAATCGAATAAATCTAAATCGAGTCAAAAGGAAGAACTAAAAAACAAAACAAAAAGAAGAAGAGGCTCGAATTAATTAATTATGCAATCGAGGGAATCTTTTTTGTAATTTTTTTTTTTTTTTTTTTTTTTTTTTTTAAATTTTTTTCCCGAATTTTTCCCGGGGGGCCCCCCCCGGGGGGGGGGGGGTTTTTAAAAANTTACGTAACCCATAATGGTTACTTATCACGAGATTTGTCATCATCATCATCCAATGATACCGATCAATGATCTTATCAATAGACTATCAATTTAAATCGTGTGCTTGTTTTTTTTCTGTTTGAAATTGGTTTTTTTATGTGGTTTGGTTTTTTTCGGCAACAAAAAAAAACGAAAAAACTGCAATCAAAAAAGCAAAAAGCAAACGAGAAAAACTCCAATAAATTATCCCGAAAGGAATAACACGTGTTTACATCCAAGAAATGGGCGTGTATTCGTGTGTGTGTGTGTGGTGAGGATATTCGCCTCATGAATAGGCAATCAATTTTATTTGGGAAAATTTACCCCAAAAAAATCGAATAAATCTAAATCGAGTCAAAAGAAAGAACTGAAGAAGAGGCACGAATGAATTAATTATGCAATCGAGGGTGAATCTTTTTTTGTTTGTAAATTAGATTTTGTGGGTTATAAATTTTTCACCGGAATTTTGCCTGGTGGTCCCATCCATGGTGGTGGTGGATTTAAGTCAAACATTTTAGTAAATTTTTTTATTCAAAATTTACGTAAATTTTCTCTAGACATTTTTTTTTTCTTCTTTGTAGCTGAAGTGATGCAAAAAAAAGAAATTTTCCCACTTTGGCTGCCAGATTAAGATGATGAAAAATTTCTCCTTTGTTCGGGTTATTTGAAGGTTTTTGTTGTTGATGAACATATATCATCGGGTCAAAGTTTAAGGTCATCGATTCCCGATTTTTTTTTTATTTCTTCGATTCCCGGTATTTACCATATCACAATCATATCATATTATCGATCTTTTTTTCGCTGATCAAAATCATCAAATCGATAATCATCAAAACCATTGTATGTTTGAAATGTCAATCAAATGTCATTTTTGAATAGATTTTTTTTTTCCATCTTGCTTGATTGGTTGGTTGGTGCTTTATGACATAACGAAGAAACATGAGGATTTTCTTCGCAACAAAGAAGTTGCCTATGACCTTTTTCTTTATTTGTATATTTGTATTATGGATTTGAACTTGGAATTGCTGTTGCAAGGGGAAACATTTCATATTTGGATGTTTTTTTTCGGTTTTGTTTGCTTGCTTGTAATCAATGTTGGTTCATTGGCATCATCTAAGATTTTCTTGAAAAATTTTTTGTTTGTTTGTTTTTCGTTGAAAAATTTCACTGAAAAAAAATGATTAATGTTTGCGCGTTGGAGTTAGCGAATGACTTATTGGTTGATTGAAAATAATAATGTTCGTTATTTTTGAAAATGAAAGTTTTTTCTCGTTTGTTGACATTTGTTTGCTAATGATGATGATGATGATGATCCAATGGATAATAACAAATATTTCAAGGGTCTCTCAAACAACAACAATGTCATTGTCCTGTGTTTTTTCAAGAAAGAAAAAATTGATCTCTGATAATTTTCGTGAAGAAAAATGTAATTTCAATTTTCAATGAGAGAGGATCATACTAAAAACCAAGTGTAATCCGTACCTGTTATGGTTATTTTAGAAGCATCATTGTCGGCCATTTTGGCGCCACGTGTTGAATTTTGATCAATATCTTTCTCTCTTTCCTTCTCTCCTTCGCTTAATTTAATGTTGATTAAGATTAATTAATTAACTTTAATTAATTAATTGTACTTGCAATCAAACACGTAAACACAAACACCAAAGAGACACATATATCAAATATTTGATTATAATTAACTTAATCAAATTAAACCATCAAAATATAAGTTACTATAACAAATATTTGAATCTAGGTGTCAAAAAAATCATTCATTTAGTGATATCCAGTTAGTCATCGTTGTCAGTTTGGTTGTTGTTGTTTGGTTGCAATGACGTTTCCTATTTATTGATGGAACATGTACACTACACACGCAGCACACACACCTAAATCCTTCAAATTTTTAATTTCTATGGAAATTTACTTTTATCTACTTTTTTTTGTAATTGGATCAAAAACTATATCAACAACAACATGGAGATAACAAAGAAAGAAATATTTATCATCATTACATTTACCGATTGAAATTGATCTTTGTTTTATTAGTTTTTTTTTCCATCAAAATTAACTATTTTTTTATGGTTCTTTTCTTGATTTTTCATTGGCTGTAATTTTCTTTAATTTGAATTGAATTTAAACGAAGAAATTGTCATTTGATTGAATGAATCGTCTTCTTCATCGTCTACCCGTTATCTTTGTGTGTGTGTGTCTGTCTTGTTTTTCTCCCCCATATTAATTAGCCGAAAGAAATAAATTTCACTACCAGTGTTCCACTCTGCCACCAACATCCTAAATCATTGTTTTTTGGCCCAAAAGAAAATTGTAAAATAAAGACATTTTTTTTATTGCCAAAAAACTGATTTTTCTTCTGGTTCAAAGTTCTGTTTAGTTGATTTTTGATCTAATTTTTCTAATCATCCACTATATACACACCATCGACCATCTGGACAATCTTTAATCTCTTTTCTTTCTCTCTCCATCACTGGTTTGTGTGTTTTGATGTTTCAATGTTTATTTATTCTCGGTTCATTTCCAATCAATTGCTTTGCTTGTTCATCATCATTCTGATCATGTTATATGTTGTGTTTTTTTTTGCAAAAACAAACATCCAAACTTTTTTGGATACAGATGGATGATTTCTTCGTTTCTCCATTCACTTATTTAAATGTCTCTCTCTTTCACTGCGTCTAATGGGTTAATAAACATTTACATAAACAAAAAGATGAATATCATTATAATCAAGATGATTCTATGAAAAATTATTCATATAACGATTATGTTGATTTTTTTTTTGTTTTTCCCTATTAACCATTCATTCATTTGCATGGTTCGTTACCTTTTTTCACTGAAAAAAAGATAACTTGTTGTTGTTGTTGATAATAACCATCAATATTAGTTCATAGAAACACTAATTATCATCCTTTTTTTCCTGTTTGTTTGTTTTGTTTTGTTTTTGATGCTAATTATTTTTCAAATGAAAAAATGACATAATATTTTTTTTCATTGAAATTTTCAATGAAAATCATGATTGATGAATGAATGGATGATTTTTTTAACCCTTTGTTATCATTTAAGATGTTTGTTTTCTCATGTCTGTCTGTGTGTGTTCGTTTGTTTGTTTATCTTCTGCTTCAATTAACCAATTTAAAAAAAAAAATAATTTTACAACATGTTTTATTTTCGCTCATTTTAACACTTGTGTAATAATTTTGTTTATGTCTAAATAATATCCGGGTGTTTATTTGTTTGTTTTCACATCTGTTTAGAATTTTTGTTTTTTAAATTTTACTTTTTTTTTTAAATTCTTGACGGAAATAAGTTTTTATTTTGATTTGTTGTTTTTTTTACAATGCGGTTTGTTTAGATTATTTTTTTGTTTGTCTTTGATTGATTAATGTGATTCTATGATGATGATATTCCAGTAAACGAATCCGAAAAATTGATTGACATTTTTACTTGAATTTTTTTTAAAGTTTTTAAAATTGTTAAAAAACGAAATTACTGTTGTCAACATTTTTGGCGAATGAATTTGAATATGACGATTTTTCTTTCGACAAAAAATTTATGAATCGACCCAGTTTTTTTTTTTTTTTTTGGTTCCTGGCTAGGCAAAATGGGTTAATTTTTTTCCCTTCCCCACTTATTATCATAGTCATCATCATTTTTATGATGTAATTAAATCAAAGATAGTAACAACAACAACAACAACAAAAAAGTAAAAGTGAAAGGTGTCAGATCGTGCAAAATGCCAAACTGAAAACGAAAATGATGATGATCATCATCATATTTTTTGTTTTTAACCCGGCTTGATATTCAATGAATAAACAAAATTCTCATCCTTTTTTTTCGTCGCTGCTTTTGCTGCTGATTCGTATCATTTTGAGTTTTTTTCTATATATTTATAGATCGAGCCAAAATGCAAATTTTTTTTCCTGACTAATTTCGATTTTCATTTTTTTTTTCTCTTCAAACAGCATTTCTGTAGTCGTTGTTGGCCGGTTATTCCCCAAATGAATTCAAAGGATTAATTTAATGGTTGAATGGCAAATTATCATCATTGTGTGGAATAAATAATTCAGATATATAGTCAACAAACAATCAATCAATCAAAAAAAATGGCACAAATTTATCGATCAAGATTAATAATAACAATATTTTTTATAATAACAACAACATTAATATCGACAAATTGGTCGTTACCAATCACATCATCATCAAATTCATCATCATCATCATCATTATTATTACATGAAAAATCATCTAGTTCACCATTTTGTCAATCACATTCAAATATTATTCAAGTTTATAATATCGGCCAGGATATTTATCTATCATTAAGTTCACGTANTCTTTGTTTTATTAGTTTTTTTTTCCATCAAAATTAACTATTTTTTTATGGTTCTTTTCTTGATTTTTCATTGGCTGTAATTTTCTTTAATTTGAATTGAATTTAAACGAAGAAATTGTCATTTGATTGAATGAATCGTCTTCTTCATCGTCTACCCGTTATCTTTGTGTGTGTGTGTCTGTCTTGTTTTTCTCCCCCATATTAATTAGCCGAAAGAAATAAATTTCACTACCAGTGTTCCACTCTGCCACCAACATCCTAAATCATTGTTTTTTGGCCCAAAAGAAAATTGTAAAATAAAGACATTTTTTTTATTGCCAAAAAACTGATTTTTCTTCTGGTTCAAAGTTCTGTTTAGTTGATTTTTGATCTAATTTTTCTAATCATCCACTATATACACACCATCGACCATCTGGACAATCTTTAATCTCTTTTCTTTCTCTCTCCATCACTGGTTTGTGTGTTTTGATGTTTCAATGTTTATTTATTCTCGGTTCATTTCCAATCAATTGCTTTGCTTATTCATCATCATTCTGATCATGTTATATGTTGTGTTTTTTTTTGCAAAAACAAACATCCAAACTTTTTTGGATACAGATGGATGATTTCTTCGTTTCTCCATTCACTTATTTAAATGTCTCTCTCTTTCACTGCGTCTAATGGGTTAATAAACATTTACATAAACAAAAAGATGAATATCATTATAATCAAGATGATTCTATGAAAAATTATTCATATAACGATTATGTTGATTTTTTTTTTGTTTTTCCCTATTAACCATTCATTCATTTGCATGGTTCGTTACCTTTTTTCACTGAAAAAAAGATAACTTGTTGTTGTTGTTGATAATAACCATCAATATTAGTTCATAGAAACACTAATTATCATCCTTTTTTCCTGTTTGTTTTGTTTTGTTTTGTTTTTGCTGCTAATTATTTTTCAAATGAAAAAATGACATAATATTTTTTGTTTTGTGAAATAAATTTTCAATGATAATCATGATTGATGAATGAATGATTTTTTTTAACCCTTTGTTATCATATAAGATGTTTGTTTGTTTGTTTTCTCATGTCTGTCTGTGTGTGTGTTCGCTTTGTTTATCGTTCAATTAACCAATTTTTTTCTGATAATTTTACAGCATGTTCATTTTCGCTCATTTTAACACTTGTGTAATAATTTTTGTTTATGTCTAAAAAAAATATCCGGGTGTTTGTTTGTTTGTTTGTTTGTTTGTTTTAACATCTGTTTAGAATTTTTGTTTTTTTAAATTTTACTTTTTTTTGTATTGAAATTCTTGACGGAAATAAGTTTTTTATTTTGATTTGTTGTTTTTTTTAAAGTGCGGTTTGTTTAGATTATTATGTTTTTGTTTTCGGTCTTTGATTGATTAATGTGATTCTATGATGATGATGATATTCCGGTAAACGAATCAGGAAAATTGATTGACATTTTCACTTGAATTGTTTTTTTTAAAGTTTTTAAAATTGTTTAAAAAACGTTAATTATTGTTGTTGTCAACATTTTTGGCGACTGAATTCATGAATCGACCCAGTTTTTTTTGGTTCCTGGCTAGGCAAAATGGGTTAAATTTTTTTCCCTTCCCCCACGCACACACTTATTATCATAGTCATCATCATCATCATCATTTTTATGATGTAATTAAATCAAAGATAGCAACAACAACAACAACAGCAAAAAAGTAAAAGTGAAAGGTGTCAGATCGTGCAAATGCCAAACTGAAAACGAAAATGATGATGATCATCATATTTTTTGTTTTTAACCCGACTGATATTCAATGAATAAACAAAATTCTCATCCTTTTTTTTCATCGCTGCTGCTGCTGCTGCTGATTCGTATCATTTTGAAATTTTCTATATTTATAGATCGAGCCAAAATGCAAATTTTTTTTCCTGACTAATTTTCGATTTCATTTTTTCTTTTTTTTTCAAACAGCATTTCTGTCGGTTATTCCCCAAATGAATTCAAAGGATTAATTTAATGGTTGAATGGCAAATTATCATCATTGTGTGGAATAAATAATTCAGATATATAGTCAACAAACAATCAATCAATCAAAAAAATGGCACAAATTTATCGATCAAGATTAATAATAACAATATTTTTTATAATAACAACAACATTAATATCGACAAATTGGTCGTTACCAATCACATCATCATCAAATTCATCATCATCATCATCATTATTATTACATGAAAAATCATCTAGTTCACCATTTTGTCAATCACATTCAAATATTATTCAAGTTTATAATATCGGCCAGGATATTTATCTATCATTAAGTTCACGTATAATTTATCGTTTTAATGTTGAACAAAAAAAATTTTATCAACATATATATAATATTAATGAATTATTTGGTAAAAGTAAGTTTTTCTATTTTGTATTTTTCAATGTCATTTTTTTTGCATAACAACAACAACAACATTGTAATCATTTTGTTTTAAATTTGATTATCTTGTCTCTGTGTGTGTCTAGTCTGATGTTTCATGTTTGAAGTTTTTTGTTTTTTTTGTTTTCCATAATTATAGTTTTATGATGATTATAATCATAAAATCAATCAATCAATCAATCGATAATAAAACAATCATTGTTTTGATTGATTTGATTGATTAATTAAATTAGATTCATCCCTTTTCAATAGGGAAAAGAGAAAAAACATTCATAGATTGCATGATAGGCCAGGATGATGATGATGATTTATTTTCATTTGTTTCGGGTGTGTGTTTCTTTCTTTTGTAATATTTGTTTGTTTGTTCTCGTTTTTCATTTTTTGAAAATTTTTTTAAAAACAAGAAAATTTCAATGGAAAAGTAAAATATAGATAGAACACAGAGGATTATTTGGTTTGAACCAATAAATTATGGATTAAATTTGCTTGAAGCTATGACAATTTGACATTTTTTTTTATTTCATTTTCATTGGAAATGTTTCCGAAAATGTTTCAGGTTTTCCCAAAAAATTTTTCCCTCCATGCTATCTTATCAAATCGATAGTGACATTTGGTTCAAGACGACTGAAAAAATCAATAAAAAATACAAACTTTTTTTATTATTGAATATTCATTAGTTTCTTCAAATATCAAGTTTGGACAAATTGCTCATCACCATCATTATTACTACTGAATTTTAACTACTTTTTTCCAAAGTTGGTTGGTTTATCAACGATGTCAACGAACAATTTGAGTTCAATTTTTTTTATTTCATTTAAATTGTTTTACTTGAATGTTTTTTTTCTTCTGATTTTACGATGTTCAATTTTCTTGGTTATTTTACTGTGTCTTTCGGTTTTTCTCCTTTATAAAACGGCAAAAAAAGCTAATAAAATGTTTTGGAGTTTTTTGGACGAAAAAAGAAGACTTTTTTCCTGAATGAATGAATGAATGAATGAACGGAATGGAATGATTAATTGATCTGATGAATTTCGATATGGATGAATTTACATTCTCTTTACATATTCTCTTTTAAGAATCTTTCTTTGTTTTTCGTTTTTGACAGAATTATTATCCGGTAAATTAATGATATAATAATGATAATGATAATCCATTTCCATCATCATTATTAGATTCTTGATTTGTAGCCAAAATTATGTCGATTATAATGATGATGATCATCATCATCAAAATGGTGTTTCATAGTAAATTCTGAAAAAAAAGCGAAACAAGATTTCGCAAAATTCATTATTTCGTGCCGGTAATTCATTTTTTCTGAGAAAAAAAGAGTGACTTGAAGAAGTCTAATCTAAACATAGTAAACATTTTCATTATGCGAATATATTTCCTACCCGAAAAATAAAACCGAGAATAAATTTTCTGCATAAAAAAACAACAACATGAATTAACCAAGTTCATCGACATTAAGATTGACATTAATTTTCTTGATGATGATGATGATGATAATGTCATTGGTTTGTTAACGAATGATGATGATGATGATATTCTTTGATCATGTAGTAGTAGTAGTAGTTGTACTAAATAAACGGTGGGTGTAAAAATAAATAAATACAAAGAAGATAAAGTGCATAGTTACTTTCCATCGTTAGTTTTTTTTTTGTTGAAAAACTTAAAAAAACCAAAATTCATAATGTTATCTTAATCGAATCTTAAAATTTTTTTTTCAAAATTTAAAAATTTAAATTTTCTGTTCTTGTTTTTAATCGATGTTGTTTGTTATCGTGTGGTTTTTTTTTTGGTAAAAAATACCACGTCTCTCTATCTATAGATTATTTATGTAGGACGAATGGATTAACACATAAAAACCACAAAAAAACAGACATATAACGGTAGGTGATTCACTGAAAGCAAGCCAAAAAACGATTATTGTTTGTAGTTTCTGTTGTTGTTTTTCTGTTGATTTCAAACGAGAAAAAAACAATGAATAAATAATGATTATAATGATGGTTTGCCACATGATTTATTTCATTGTTTTTTGTTTTGTTTTTTATCATTGCTTTCGAAAGAAATGAATAAAGAAAAAACATTTAGATTAACAATGCGTAGGTGTCATCATCATAGGGAAACCATAAGAAACCAAAGAAAAATCTCATTATTATTATTATTATCTCATAAATTGCCATCATTAACATCGTCGTGATCATCATCATTTAACCATCTTGATGATGATTATCATATGTGACCACTGTGATTGTTTATTGTTGTTGTTGTTTTTCTTGACCTTAATCTCGAGGTAATGTTAATCCTCGGATAATGATGATAATTTTGTACTTTGTTTTTTGTTTTTGTTGTTTGTTGTTGTAACTGTGTGGTTAATATGTAAATGAATGTGACAGGCAAAACGAAAAAGAAAAGAAACTATTATTTTTGAAAAAGGTGCATCATTTTTCTTTTGAAGAATATTCTACAAGATTGGCATTTTTTTAAAATTTCTAAATTGGAATTGATTTGACATTCCAGTGATATTCGTAGGTTGTTGTTTCGTTCTATCGACGATTGAAATTTTTAAAATTTTTTAAAAATGAATTTCACCAGTGTGAAAAGAGTAGGAGGTTTCCATTTATGTCTTATTCTTCGAATAAATCAAATATAGTGATAGTGATCTCTGATCTATGCATAAGATTTTTGCTCTTGCTTCTTTCATTAACTCATATTTCGGGTTTGTTGAACCTTTTGGAAAAAATCAGGCAAAATGTGATATGATTTTTCTTCAAAAAAAATCTGACAGTCGAATGAAAAACCGTTTAACCATGATCATTCATTGCAATTTCAATTGAGAATCTGAGCCTGAAGACACTTATCTTTCATTTGATGATGATTACTACCGGATTATAATCTCAGGAGAAACAAAAAATGAATGAATTTTCAATAAAAAGAAAAATCTGAAAATTGATAAAAAATTGAAGTGAAGTGAGCGAAACACTTGGATCATTTTAATCAATCTTTGATTTATCGATCATCATCATTCATTTTTCTGCTTTAAAAAAATGAAATTNAAAAAACAATGAATAAATAATGATTATAATGATAATGGTTTGCCACATGATTTATTTCATTGTTTTTTGTTTTGTTTTTTATCATTGCTTTCGAAAGAAATGAATAAAGAAAAAAACATTTAGATTAACAATGCGTAGGTGTCATCATCATAGGAAAACAATAAGAAACCAAAGAAAAATCTCATTATTATTATCTCATAAATTGCCATCATTATCGTCGTGATCATCATTTAGCCATCTTGATGATGATGATTATCATATGTGACCACTGTGGTTGTTGTTGTTGTTTTTCTTGACCTTAATCTCGATGAAATGTTAATCCTCGGATGATGATGATAATTTTGTACTTTGTTTTTTGTTTTTTTTGTTGTAACTGTGTGGTTAATATGTAAATGAATGTGTCAGGAAAAAAAACGAAAAAGAAAAGAAACTATTATTTTTGAAAAAGGTGCATCATTTTTTTGAAGAATATTCTGCAATATTGGCATTTTTTTGAAATTTCTAAATTGATTTGACATTCAAGTGATTCCAGTAGGTTGTTGTTTCGTTCTATCGACGATTATGATATGAAATTTTAAATTTTTTAAAATTTTTTAAAAATGAATTTCACCAGTGTCAAAAGAGTAGGAGGTTTTCATTTATGTCTTATTCTTCGAATAAATCAAACATACAGTGATAGTGATCTCTGATCTTTGCATAAGATTTTTGTTCTTGCTTCTTTCATTAACTAATATATTTTGGGTTTGTTGAACCTTTTGGAAAAAATCAAGCAAAATGTGATATGATTTTCAAAAATCTGACAGACGAATAAAGAAAAAAACCGTTTAACCATGATCATCCTTCATTCATTTCAATTGAGAATCTGAGCCTGAAGACACTTATCTTTCATTTGATGATGATGATTATGATTACTACCGGATTATAATCTCAGGAGAAACAAAAAATGAATGAATTTTCAATAAAGAAAAATCTGAAAATTGATAAAAAATTGAAGTGAAGTGAGCGAAACACTTGGATCATTTTAATCAATCTTTGATTTATCGATCATCATCATTCATTTTTCTGCTTTAAAAAATGAAATTTTCTTCTTTTTTTTCTGGGTGCGACCATTATCACCACCATCAAAGCATCATCATCATCGTGAACGGATTGAATTCGAATGATGCTTTGGTGGTGGTGGTGGTGATGAATTTAACACTTCAAAAAATTGAAATGAAATATTGGTTGAAAATCGATCAATTGAATTGATTGATTTTTTCATCCTCCCATAACATTTTGTTACTGCTTTGTGTGTGTGTGATTGATACATTTAAAATATTGATTATTGATTGATCAATCGATCAACGAACGAACGAAAAAAATCAGCCCAATCAATTCTTTAATTTTTTGTTTAAATGAAACGATAACTGAATAAACGAGATCAGGTTGATTCATTTGAATCTTATCCAAGTGTTGTTGATGATGATGAATATTTATCAGATACAGATGCGGAAATTAATCTTTGATGATGATGAACCGAAAATAGCATCAGCAATTGGAAGTAAAGGGTTATTTTTATATGTAGATCAACGAGTAGATGATGAATATAAATGATGATATTTCTGTTGATGATGTTGATTGGATTTTTTTTTGTTGAAAAAAATATCGATCGATTAATGAATTTTTGATTTTTATCAACAAGTTTTATTTCATCAGTTTGACTAATTTGATTTTTTTCGGCTATTTTTACTTATTTGTGTCAAAAAAAAATTGATCAAATAAAAGTCTGATCAATCAAAAATCAATAATTTCACTTTTTTTTGCCCAAGTTATGAATGAAAAACTTTCGGAAATCTCGAAAAATAGACCTTCTGATCATCAATGTTCAAACACCAGACAAACATCTTTGTTTTGGTTGAAAATTTAGGTCATTTTATTAGCATCTTATTCATCTACTGATCGAAAGAAATTTTTCTTATTGTTTTTTGGATATCAAGATCAAAATTCTTGTTGAATTTATCTAGGTTTTTTTTCGTTTTTTGCACCAAACAAAAATTAGACAACTTTATTTAGGTTTTTTTTTGGCCCTGTTTCAATATTATGGCCATAGATAATCTTTCAACAGGTTAATGTCGTCTTTGTCGTTGTTGACGATGATATTTTTTTTTCTCTTATTGCCTGTTGGCTACTATCGATTTTTCTTTCGTTTCTTCAAAAAAAACATCAAACAAACGAAAAATTCGGTCAAATTTTCTTTGAAAAAAAATTCAGGTCTACATTGTCGATTGATTGGTGACCGGAGATAAACATTTAAAATTTGAAGCCAGAAATAAAAATTTTTTTGTTATTTCAAATTTCGACATTGGAATTTCGTTGGCTTTTTCTACACACAAACATCCATAGAACAAAAACAAAAACCTGTCCAGTTTTGTTGCTGTTTTTAAATTGACAAATTTTTGTTTTGTAAGTGACTTTGAAATCAGTAAATAATACTTGAATCAAATGATGACTTTGTTTTGAACTATTTTAACTTGTTGGTCATATCTAAAGTGTGTACGGTGTGTATATAGCATGTTTTGTATCTTTTTTTTGCAAGAGAAAATCTTTTTTTTTCTTAAGGGAACCCAACGGTCAAAGGTCAAAACATTGTTCATTCAATTTAATTTAGTTTCACCTAATTGTTTTTGTTTTGTTTTGCCTACTTTACTTCTTTTTCAGTCGCTGTTGACCGTCGTCCATCATTCGTCAAGAAAATTCCTCTGTTTTTGTTTTTCAGGTTAATTGATTTTCCAGGTAAATCGTTGTTGTTGTTCACGCCGTTGTTGTTGTTTTTCAGAGAAAAATTCTTTTGTTTTGAATCAAAAAAAAAACTTGAAACATTCCGGTCATAAGTGACCACACGCACTGCACACTGCCCAACTTAACTTAATTGAATATCTTTATTCGTTGGACAGAATGGCCTCTGCATATTATGACAATCAATTTTCAGGCCACACACACACACACACTGGTCAATTTCAATAATTTTTTTTTTGTTTTTCTTGGTTGAAAATTAAAAAATTTAAATTTTTTAATCAACCAAGAAACCAGGTAAAATTTATTGGGAAAAAACGTGACTGAAATCTTTTTTAAGTAAAACGAAAAAATCATAACAATTTTCTGGTTCGTTTTAAAAGAAAAATTTAAATTTTCTTTTTCAGATTTTAAATCGATGATAAAAAACAAGAGAAAATTTCCATAAATATTTTTTCTTGGAAAATTTCTTGAAAATGCACAAAAAAAAATTCATTTTCATCCGACAAGAGTCACGAGTGACTTTGTTATTTATTTATTTATTTTCATTTTTTCATCCAGATAAGGCACGATTTTTTTCACTCCAAAAACACTGTGTGAGAAAAAATCAAACAGGTAGCCAAAAACAAAATTTTCTACAGAAATTATTCAAATGATGATTTCTGTGGAAATTTTTTTCATCCGAAAAAGTTTCCCTCTGATAATTTGTTATGGAAAAACAAATTTGTTTGACATCATCGATTAAATATGATTCGATTATATTGCTGTCATTCTCTGAATGATATCATCAACCGATCACCACCATCATCATAATTTATCCCGATGATATCATCATGATAAATTATGACATTGTTTTTTGATGGAAAACTGAAAACTCATTTTATTTTTTACTTTTTTTTTCAAAATTTTTTTGAAAAATTTTGAATTTTTTACCTGTCATCGTTGCTATTGCCAATTTGGGTTTTTTCATTTTCGTTGATTTGTTTGGTTGCTATCGTCATTCATTCATTCAACGAATGAAAGAAAAATTTCCATAAAATTACAATTAAATCGGCTGTTGAAGAAGAAAAAAAATACAGTGAGCTTTCATTTGTTGTTGGTGGTGGTGAAAGGTCAGATCGAATTCAGATAAACAACAACAATAACAAACGAAAAAAATAGAATCCATAATCATGATGATGATCATGATGATGGTTATAATGATGATGATGAAAATGAACATCCAAACTAATGATAAAACTCTCTTGGGTCAAAGGTCGAATGTTTTCCACGAATTTCAATTGTTTACCATCATCATGATGATGATGATGATTTATTTTTAAAGGCGGGGGCGGTAATAAATTATTTTTTTTTTTCATTATAAACCATCACTAAATGTAAATGTCATATCTCGATTCATTCATATTCACTGTTCATGTGAATATTTTGAAAAATCAACCAACCGCATCCGATATTTGAAATTATCATCATCATCATCATTATGATGATGACAGGTCGGTTATTTTATTTTATATTGGCCACCGACATTATCTGGAAATGAATTTTTGTTTGGCCACCAAAATCTAATAGATATATCGGTAGCATAGAATGGTTTATGGTTTAGTCATCATTATTATTATTATAATGATAATTATGTTTCAGTTTTTTTTTCTGGATCCAATCTCGTCAAGGTTAATTAACCTGGTAATTTTATTTTTTCGTTTTAGGTAAAGAAAGTTTGATACGTGACTATGGTTTAATATGAATGAATACCTTTTACGCCCATTCTATCATCGTCATGATGATGATTTTTGGGTTTTTCATTATGGATTTTTTTTCTTCAAATTTTTAATTAAATTTTAAATCAATCGATTTTTTTTGGTCTGGTTTCATTTTTCATTAGATAATTTCCGTTGGGTTGATACTGTTATCAATTTGAATGGTATTTGTAAAATTCCTGGTATATGTGATGCTGGTGATCAACATGATGATTTGGAACGTATACATATTGTTATCGGTAGCCGGGTAATCGATAAAGATCGTACATATGGTATTGCATTATATAAACTTAATGATGATAACGGTGATGGACGATTACAATTATTGGATGAAAAATCATTAAATCAAAAATTATTAGATCAACTGAATCGTACTGGTTTAGATATAAATATGTTGGAAAAACAAGGTTCAATTATGTTTGGTTCATTTTGGCCATCACAAAATGGTTAGTGTTTGGAGAGTTTTTTTTTTAAAAACACAAACTTTCACTTTCAATTTAATTTGATCTGATTGTACACTGTAGGTATACAATCAGCAAATCTTTATTATCGATCCGGTATATTTGTACCGAATCGTTTGGATTTATTTTTTTCTGTTTATGATATGAAAACTGATTCATCACAACGTATTATAAGACGAAAATTAACACCTAATAACATTATTGATCGAACAAAACAACAATGGGAAAATTTAAATGATCAAATGATTGATGATGAAAAATTTGTAGCAGGAATGTTTCATTTTCAACCAAAACAACGTACATTTGGTTTGACTGATAATATGAAAGTATTTGAATTTATTTGGACAAATTTTCAACAGAATCCTGATGGTGATGTTAAATTTTTACCTAAAGTAAGTTTTCATTTGAAAAAAATATTGATTTTAATCCACTTTTCTCTCGAAAATAAAGGGTTCATTACGTGAATTATTAAACTGTTATGATAATTCAACTGATTTGGCAAATGATGCGCCAACATTAATAATGACTAGTCCAACAACAACAACAACTACGACGACGACAACAACAACAACAACAACAACAATAAAACCTGAATCAACAACAACAACAAAATTACCATCACTACCAAAAGTGAATAATATTGATGAACCAAAAACGATTGATAATTTGGTTAATGATAAATCGAAAATGGATAATTTCAGCGATGATTTAGATGCGGATAATGATGATGATGATGATGAACAAGAAGAAAAAGATGAAATACCATTACCTGAAAATGAACCACCAAGTTTAAATGATTTAGATCATCATCAACGTGATGATCCAAATAATTTAAATATTTTTACAAATCAACAACAACAACAACAACATGTTAATAAACAACATTCATTATCATCATCATCATCATCGATTTCACCTGATTTAGGTGAAGCATCAGCACTTGGTCCATTAAATTCAAATGATAATGGTTTAATATGGACATTTGCAATTTTAACAACAATGTTGATCATTTTAGTCATCATTATTATTGTGCCCATATTGATTATAAGTAAGTGTTTTTGTTTGTTTGTTTCGATTGTTTTGTTTTGAAAGAAAATTTTAAACTTTTCAAATTTTTTTTTCTTCTCGTTCCGAAAACCAAAGGACATCGATCTCGTACAAATCAAATGTATTTGAATAAGAAAAAATCCAACATGCAAACAAAAAAACAGAAAAATGCAAATGGCCTTGATCAATCTAATTGTTCAGAATCGGTACAATTGATGGATAAATCGATTATTGATAAATAATTTTTATATAAAAAACCTACACATACATAACATATAAAAGCATCTATCTCTCTCATTCATTATCTTTCTATATATTCATGGTCTATTTTCATCCTAAATATGCGTTATTCAAATATTGATTATTATTGTTTTTCATTTTTTTTTTGATTATTTTGTATATGACATGAAGAAGATGAATATTTTTTTCTGATTACATCACATCATCAACAACATGTAGCGGCTCATAATCAGCCAATAAACAACAACAACAACAACAAAGAATATATTTTTAAACACAGAAACATTTTGAAAAAATGAACATTTTTTTGTTTTTATTAGTTTCTGGAAAGATTATGTCATACAGTCAATGTTTTCATTTTTTGAATTCACCAACACACACACACACACACACCATCATTTCATCTCTATTTGCATTTCAATTTTTTGTTTCTATTTGAAATTCTGTTCATTTTTAATAAGAACATTAGAAGGAAAAAAAATCATCAGAATCGACAAAAACAAAACAAGGAACAACAGAATAAGAATATTCTTTACGTAAAAAAAATTTTCTCATCACGATCTCTCTCACTCTCTCTCTCTGAATTTTTTTTAATTCTGTTTTGGTTTTTTTCTTTCTTCTTCTTCTTCACTGCTGCTGCTGCTGCTGATATATAATTTGGCCATCCAATCATCCCTCTATCGATAATCGATATTTTTTTTTGTTTTTGAAATTTTCAAATAACCAAACAGAGAATTAATCACATGTGTGTGTTTGCTATAATGTATTTATTACCGGAAAAAATTTTGTAAATTCATTTCATTTTTTTTTTGCTTTTAATTTTCCATTTAACCTCACCTCATAATATAAGAAATAATTAAAAAAATTAAAAAAAACAAGGTGTCATGTGCCCTGTGTGTCATTTGGAAATTTCTTCAGAACAGAACAAACATCAACTTTGTACACAAACTTTTCGTTTTGTTTTTTTTTCTTCAAAATTTTCATTCATCCAACATTTTTCAATCGGCTGCCCAATATTTTTCACACATTTTTGTTTTCGGTTTTTGTTAGTTTTTCTTCTTTAAATTCCAATGTGATGATCATTTCAGAATGAAATGTTTTTTCTTTTTGTTCATCTAAACACACATTAACCAAACAAAGAAACAAACACGGAGAGAGAGAAATAATAATTCACATCATTCATTTTCAATTATTCGATTCATTTCATTTCATTCAATCAATTTGTTTTTCTTTTCTTTTTTTCCATTGATTTTTCTCCCTTTTCATATAAATAAATTGAAATCCAATAAAAATTCATTTTCATCAAATAAAAAAAACTAGATACAATGTATCAATGATTTTTTGTAATCGATTGAATTGATTAAGAAAAAAAAATTGTTGAAAATGAAATTGAAAGGATTTTTGTTGTTGTTGTTGTTCAAAACTAAATCAATTGAATAATCCTTTCCTTTTTTTTCGTTGTTTGATTGAATTCAATTGATCTTGACCTGATCAATTTTCTGAATGATTGACAGATTCATTTAAATTCCAATTGAATCAGAAATAATTGATAATGGCCACACAATCCATTGATCAAATTGATTGATTATGATTATTTTCAATTATACCGAGGTAATTAAATTTTTTTTTCTCAACAATTTTGATCAATCAATGATTATGTTTGTGGATTGTTGAAGAGAAAAAAATGAAAAAATTCCCGAAAATTCTACACAAATATGGTCAAAAATGATGAATAGATTGATGATTAAGCCTAACGATGACATTGATCATCATCATCATCGAAATTTAGGAAACAAACAAAAAAAAATATTTACATATTTTTTGGAATCGAAAAATTTTGTTTTTGTTATGAATCATAAAAAAATGTGTTTTGGATACCAAAAAAAAAAAAATCAAATCAAATTTGTTTTCCATATTTCAAATCATCATCATCATCCTGTATATCCCGGGTATAAATTTTCGGAAAAACAAACAAACAAATTATGTTTGTAACTTTCGTTTTTTTTCGTTCGTTTGTTTGTTGTTGTTGTTGTTTGTATTTCATATCGATAATAACTTTTTTTTGTTTATAACAAAAAAAAATTTCACAAGTTTTTTTCTGTTATTTTGTCTTTTTCCCAAAAAATTATTATCGTTTATATGATAATGATGATGATGATAGTCATCAATTCTATCTCTTGATCTACAGAAACACACACACACTTGACTTGATGACCTAGATATTTTGTTTTGTTTGTTGTCATTTTCATTTTCACTATTCGGACGTTTATGTATGAAAGAGTTGTAATATTTCATTTTATCATCGGGTAAATATCGGGAAACGAACCATATGGTTGATGATATCAATAGTACGGAAAAGTAAGGAAATGGACATCTCCATATCATTATTATCATCATCACCTAGGACGGATATTGTCCGAATTTTTTGCCTTTGATGTTTTCATTATAGTCGTTGGTTGTTTGGTTGAATTTAAAAAAAAAGATGATGCAATATTGTCGATTATATTGATAATGATGGCCGATAAGAGTGAAAATAGAAAAAAATAAATTATAAATCCTCTTGTCATGAAAGATCATATGGCGCGGATATAGCACTTGAAATCAAGGATACTTTTTTTTTGTTGTTGTTGTCATTGTCATCATCATTGTCGTCGTCGTTGTTGATTTGCAAGTGGATTTGCAAAAAAAAATTATTGATGAATTAATTAGAAAAAAAAAATTTCCAAAGAAAATCCAATAACTTTGATTAATTTCAAAGAAGAAAAAAAAATATGCTGTACAAAATAATGAATGTCAAGAGCAATCGATCAGGGATCTTTTGATCAGATATTGATTGATTTGATTGATTGTATTGCAATTTGATTGTATTTAAATTGTATTAAATTTTGACTTTGAGTTTGTGCTTAGAATAATTTTTTCTTGTTTTTTTTTGGAATTATATTGACAAAACCTGAGCCTATGAAAATGTCTCAACTACGCTCAACGAATATTTCGACCATTTTTTTGGTCATTATTTTTATTGTTCATTGCGTTTGTTTATCATCCGCATCACCAACAACAACGAAAGTAATTTCAAAGAAACGATTAATGGCCCGGATGGCATTAAATCAACAAACAGTCGAATTAGCTGGTAAAAATTTTTTTCTCTCTTTTTGAAAACTTTCTTTTCAATCCTATTTTTTTCTGAAATTTTAAATGAATAGAATCGATTAAAACTGCATTGGAAAAATCGGAAACAATGTTAAAAGAATCACCATGTAATGGTCATAATAAAGTTGAAACATTAGTACCAGAAAGTGGAAATATTCATAATACATTTTGGAAAATGATTATGACCGATGAACGAGCATATTTAAAATCATTGGAAAAACGATTAAAATTTTCAGCCGAACATTTAAATAATCCATTTTTACATAAATCAACTGAATTCTTAATCAATGATATGGAATTAATGATGAAATTTTTTCCATTTCTTTGTGATCTAATCAATGGTGATGAAGATGATGATGATGTTGGATTATCTGGTTTAAGTGATTCTATTGATGAACTTATTGAAGGTGCTGAAATTGAAGCAAATTTTCTAATGCATGAAGATCGACGTTCCGAATCGGATCAAATTTATGATCGATCAAAATTTTTACGTGATCGTTTACATGATTTACAGACAAAAAAATTATCTGATAATCCTCAAGATATTTATAATGCATTGAAAAATCTTTTCATTGAAATTGCAAAATTTGAACATTTTGTTTTAGATTTACAGAAACATTTTAGCGTTAATTATGCTAATATTGATTATTATAATTATTAATTTCACAAGGTGAAAACCACAAAGACAATTTTATTTAAAAAATAAAAAATTTTTATTACAAAATTTCAAAAAAACAAGCTGCTGCCATCTATCAATAGTTTTCGTTTGCACAAACACTGCTTGATGATTTGCAAACCACGTGATTTTTTGGTTGTTGTCATTTTTTTTCAGATTATCATCACCTCTATATCATGGATAATCAATTAGATTCTGATTCATCAACAAATCAATTTGAATCAATTTCATTGATACCAAATTATCGTGCATTACAAATCATACAAGAACAATCAATGAAAATTGATAAAATTCTATCCACATCCACAACATCAGATCAAATATTACGAAATATTGCCAAAGAATCAACATTTGGACAATTTCGAAATTCATTAAAAGATGTTGGTAATCATATTAAATTAAATTCATTGGATGCTGTAAAAAATTTAAATCTTGAACGATCAAAATCATTGGCAAATGAATTGAAACAGAATTTTTCATTAACATCAAATGAAATTGTTATGTTAATGAATGAAATGCCTAATGATTTATCATTTATTGAATTAATGTTTCCAGGAAAATTTAACAAAGAACAAACATTTCTTTTATTCAATCTGATTGATCAATATCGTCATTTTGATGATGACGTTTCAAATGTTAATGATAATGATGGTGATCAAAATGGACAATCAAAGTCAAAATAAGCACCAGCTTTTGTTGATTGATTGATAACATTTTTTTTCAATTATTAATATTGCAATTATCGATTTTACCTGATAATCACCTGTGGTAATAGGTCAAGTGTGTTGTTGTTGTCATTGTTCTAATTAAACAAAAAATCTTAAAAACAAATAAAAAAACTTTTATGGTTTTTTTCAAGTAAAAAAAATTTCCATTTTATTTCATTGAAATCATTTCCAAACCAACCAAACAAACGAAAAAATGGTTTTTCAAAATTTCGAAACAATTTTGATGATGATGATCATCATCACTATTAATTATCGATCGGTAATTGGAACAAATCTGAATTATGAAGATTGTGGACTTCATAATGTTTATTCGGTCAGCGTTGATGGTTGTGATGACCAACGATCAACAAATGATGAATGTGTTATACTAAATAAAAATTCCATATCATATTCGATAACATTTTCCGCAACTATTAGTGCACGTATGTTATACAATAATGAAACATTTCAACAATCCAAACAAACTGATATTATAAATAATATTGGTGATTTATGTAAAAATCCAAGTAAATATCAATTAGATTCATGTCCAATTGAAGCTAATCATATATTAAGAATACAAAAAACAATTACTTATATGAATCGATTTTCGGTAATTATTTAAATTATTATCTGCATTTTTACCACATTTTGATGATTAAAATTCAACCAATTCTTTATTCTTTAGCTAAATTATCCGCTAATATTGGAGGATAAATATTATTCAAGTAATGATCCAAATCGATTAATGGCTTGTTCAAGAATTCGTCTACAATATTATGGTTAGTGATTTGAAACAAGAAAAACTTTTAATTTTTTTTCTATTGAAATTAAATAGATTCTCGTTATACAACAACAACAACATATCGTCCAACTACAGATAGACATCATGATGATGATGATGATAAATATCGTGAATGGTTAGAAATATTAACACGTGTATTACGACAAAGTGAAGAATTGGCAAATAAAACTGAAACAAAATTACGACAACATTATCCTAATCATCAAAATTTGACCAATGATAATCCTATTATACAAACACTTGAAACACAATTGATACAATTACGTATTGATATAACTGGTATTTGGTTAGAAATACGTAATCGAATACTAAGAGCAGATGAAAATATGCGTGAATTTCGTTTGTTTGTTGAACGATCATCACAAACACTTTGGAAATATGGTGAACAACTTCGTTTAACCGTTGATATATTGGATGAATTTGGTTGGAATTATCATAATGATACAAATAAATGGATAACAAAACAAATTTCACCATTATTAGAACAATTATTACAACGGTTACGTTCAATGTATGGTTATTTGGAACAACATCATTCCGAAGGTGATGAACAAACAAGAATTGAAGAATTTATTGAAATTATTAATCAATATTCAGATTATATTAATGAACATCGTTCAGAAAGATTTGATCAAAATTATTTAGATCGAATGTTAATCTATGTACGTTATGTTGAAGATCGTTTATTTGAAATGGAAAGTAAATATTATGGTGATGATTATTATCATTATGATGATGATGATCATCATTCTACACGAAGAAGTACAATGACACCACCAATAACAATATCAACAAGAAGAATGATTTAATTATAAAGATTGATTAAACATTGATTGTATTTGAGTTTTTTGAGTTTTGTGAATAAAAACAAAAAATAATAACAATGAATAAATTTAAATTAAACTTGAATTTGTCTAATGATAAAATTATTTGAACAGCTAAGACCAGGTATCATTACATTTGACGGTAATTTTCGTTGATTTCGATATTCAATACGTTCAATACGTTTACGTCGATTTTGAAATGGATTATGGTAAAAACAAAACAATGATAATGCAATTGTTTGATATAGTATAGCATTGATGGCTGTCATCATGATACTGTGATAAAATTGTTCATCATGAGTCAAACCAATTCTATACAACAGTACTTGTATTTCTCTATGACCACATCGACCGAAACCATATACTAAAAAATAAATAGCTTCTATTTGATACCGGAAAATATTGAAAGTCGTAATCAATTTGAATGCATAATGCGATATTCCATGTGGAGTCATTATGCTACTAATTGATAACAACAATAAAGCTGGAATTGAAATGTAGAGGTTCAATGGGTTGCTTCCGAACAAAATGGAAAGCGCATAGCTGACACCTTGAAATGCAATCATTGGCAGTATAATGATCATTATCATATAATACCATACGTAACTTCTAATTGGATAATAAATGTCGACAGCAATCGGAAACAATACGATAACGGGCAAGGCAATTAGCATCTCACATACTGCTTTTGATAGATAAAATGCACCGGAACTGTACCAACCTAGTGAAATTGCAAAAATAAACTGTATAAATGGATCATGTTAAATCAACACTAAAATTACCATTTCGATGTTCGATTTTGAATAATTTCCGTTGTGATACAAACATTGCAACAAAAAAGATACAAGCAATTATACCCAAACTATCTTGACAGTGATGTATATAATGACAATTGAGTAAAAGATTTGTTCTCTCGTCTTCAGAACGATTACAGTTGCTCAAATCTTCATCTAAACTCATACAGCCACTAAGAAAGATCATATTAGGATTAGTCAAATTTTTCAATATAAAACCATTTACAACGCTGAAACATATGAACCACAATATGAAAAATCGAGACATAAGATTTCCAATATAAAAATAGAATTGCCGTTGAATCAAAATTACCACAGATCTTAATGAAAATCTAGTACGATTAGCATGTGGACCATCTAAAACATATTGAGTATCAGTCATTAAATGATCTTCCAACTCATTACTTATAGTTGATTGATTTGTAGAATCGGAGAGTGTTTTAATTTGAGGATCTGAATGATTCAAACTGGAATATTTCATGATTTCTTCGACGGCAAATTTTTCATCATTATTGTCGTGATCAGTAGAAACTTGATGAAGATGATCACTAATTTGCGATGGCGGTCCAGAGAAGATGCAAACACCACCTCTGGAAAGAATGTAAATCTGATCGAAAAACATTAGCATTTCAGTATTCGGTTGATGAATAGCTGCCACTATAGTGATGTTGTGTTTATGTGACATTTTTCGCAGACAAGAGATGATCACTTCGGCCGAGTTCGAGTCCAGTCCGCTAGTCGGTTCATCAATGCAAATGAAATTGGGCATTCTTAGCGACATCAGTTCTAAAGCTAATGCTAATCGTTTTCGTTGTCCACCTGAACATTTGTCAACAAGTGTGTCAGCCGTATCAATAATTTCTAGTTCTTTCAACATTGACAAAGCATTATTTTTATGATCGATGCTTTCGCCAAGGTTTTTCAGCTTGCTTGCGTAGATAAGACTCTGTTGGGCTGTCAAACCTGGAGTCAAATGAGACGAAATTTCTTGCGTTATGTAACAGGTTCGCAATGGCGTGAACTTGCTGAGATAGAATTTAGTTTCACTACTCAATCGTGTTTTGTCCCTGCCGTTCAACACTTTGAGTAAAGAGGTTTTTCCAGCTCCCGACGTTCCCATCAGAGCATTCAATGTTCCAAAACGAAATTGACCATTCAGATTACGCAATATGTACTTCGGTTCTTCAAGTTTCAAAGCAGATCGAAGCTCTAAATATGAACCAGAATTGAACAAACTCAATGATCGCCAAGCGATGATGATTTTATTTTTGGAGAATTTTTCAAATTCTGTTTCATCTTCCAATTTTATTCGTTCATTTGACTGAATTAAAGTTTGGATTGATTTATTATTCGAGTTATCATAATCGATTTCACTCAATTCGGTGATATTTGATGTTTTTNTGCCGTTCAACACTTTGAGTAAAGAGGTTTTTCCAGCTCCCGACGTTCCCATCAGAGCATTCAATGTTCCAAAACGAAATTGACCATTCAGATTGCGCAATATGTACTTTGGTTCTTCAAGTTTCAAAGCAGATCGCAGCTCTAAATATGAACCAGAATTGAACAAACTCAATGATCGCCAAGCGATGATGATTTTATTTTTGGAGAATTTTTCAAATTCTGTTTCATCTTCCAATTTTATTCGTTCATTTGACTGAATTAAAGTTTGGATTGATTTATTATTCGAGTTATCATAATCGATTTCACTCAATTCGGTGATATTTGATGTTTTTGATAATTTCTTCGACGGAAATTTCCAGCTTTGAAATTTCGTCATCAATAAGAACAATGTCAATATTCGTAAAGCGATTGAATTGATTAAAATTTTATATAGATCGGTGTAGACAGTTTCCTGGTTGATTTCGTTATCGAGCAACACTGAAGATATTTGATTTGGCTCACATTGATCAATGCCATAGAATGCATTTATAAGTCCATTCCTTATAATTTTAGTACCGACGATATCACTTATCATTTTACTTGATGAATTGTAGATATAATTATATGGAAAAAAATAGCCATTATTAAAATCAAGTGGTGCGTATGAAATTCCAGCTATTGCAAGAGCAACTTCAAAATTATTAGAAAATACGACGCTAAATAATTGACCCACAGATTGTATATAGAAGAAAAACATCCACACGAAAAGAAAAAAATTGGCGAATCGATACCAATTGAAATAACCATCATCAATAAAAGTATGGTCGATCAAGAAATATATCAATGCTGTCGCATGTAGAGCAAGAATTGTAAAATCGATTAATCGAACAATTACCACCGACCAATAAGAAACGCCAGCACTGTGCCAACCTTAAAATCAATTCAAATATATTCAGTTACATTTTGGAAGTTAAAAGGATTTACACTTACCGTTTCGATGTTCATTTTTGAATACTTTTATCAGTGAACCGAATGTTAAACTGCTTACAATACTAATGGTATAACCCATCAACATAATAATCATACATTGATAATAATTATAGAATTCAATTTTGTATGTTTCCTCTAATTTGTCTTTACAAGTTTGATTATTTTCCTGCTTTGTAAAGTCAATCGCGGAAACGCATGTATCTGGCTCGATAATATTTTGATCGTATAAATTCGAGTGAATAAAACAGACTAAAGTCACCATTATTATTGTGAAGATTCGGGAATTGATTTGCTTGATGAATATCAATTGAAACATTCGTGCCATTTGCAGTAGAAAATCTGCGAATGAAAATAACTTATGATCAACAATAATTCCTTGCGGCAGATATTTCATTTGTGGTATTAATGGTTTCAATTCGTCTTGTTGTTGTGACCAAGTTGCTTCCGCTAATCGACGAACATTTT